TAACAAACATGCACAATTCAAGACGAGTGCAAAAACCAGATCCTATTTCAGACCAAAATGGCAATAATCGATACCCTATTTCAGGGCATGACCAAACCACAAAAGCCATACCTTTTAGGGCCGCACATACTTATACAACCCATACAACCCTATAGGGAGTTCCCTTCCCCCCGTGGGTTGAATCATCATCGGGGCAAAATTATTGCGTGACGTCCGCGTCGCGAGTCGTACCGTAGTGACCGACCTCGATTTGTAGACTGACAGATAAATTGTGTTATTTACCTTGACACAATAAGTACCGTTATTTACTTTGCGTACGATCGGTTGTCGGTAAAGGGTGCCTTGGTTTAGTTGAAAGCTGTTTTGCAAGAAGCTTACCAGAAGAGCAAGGCACAGGTTGGTAAGTAGTTTTTTCATTTCGATTTATTTTTAGCAGATCTTTGAAACGTCAGTGAGGTGTAGCTAACAACAGACTGTCGAAGCAGGTCAAAGGAAACCAAGCTTAGAGCTCGCTATCAATAGCGGTGTCAAAGATTTATTTATGTTACCTAAAGACTGAGCTCAAGTTATCAGATTGCAAGCAGGGGACACCGGCCGTCCATTATTCTTACTGCAAGCAAAATTCACGCACTCATGTCAACCTCAGGATGTCTAGTACCGGAGCAAAGTTCCAAAATGTTCTGCTTACTAATTTGTGCAAACATCGCTAACTCTTGAAGAGGCCATTTGCCTAGCCAGTGCTTTACTAGGGTTCTTGAACGAAGAAAACGTACTTAACCGAGAAACGCAGACTAATCCACTGATTTTTGACTGACAGATCTAAAATCTTTCGTGTACTGTACACAAAACTGAGTATTTCCTGGGCCAATTATTTCCTATAAACACTCCCATTTAGCAGGCCTGACTGCATGGACGTCTGTCATCCCTGTCGACTTTCAGTGTAGCCACCAACCGCGGTAAGGTTCAGATATGTTTTTAAAATATACTTGCTTCTTTCAATTGATTAAATCCCGGCCTTACGTTTTATTTCCAAAGCCGAGTTGTTTTTGTTTTCTTGCACTAGGGCGTCTTAAACACTCCTATGTTACGGTGGTAGTCTGATAGCCTACGTGTAGCCGTACCCACCCCCCGAGGAAAAACGGGAGGGAGGGAGGGTGGGTACGGCTATACGTAGGCTAGTAGTCTGAGGGTCCATATGCATTTGTTTTGGGACGAGCCGTTCAGTCGTATTTGATATCACAGTGTTTCTGTTGGTACTGATCCGGGGCGGATATGGAATCACTGTCACTGTTTCACAGGTTTGAGAGTAACGAAATATTGCTTAATGTTTTGGACCACCTTGGCGTCTTTGCAAACTCATCCAAGGAAGTCGCTTCCAGGAGAAAAATTGAATAAAATTGGAGGTCTTTGTGACATCATTCAATCTAGAGTATTATTATGAAATAATTAGACAACTTAATAGCTCTTAGTTCTAAGAGGTGCCAATTATAAAACAACCGGATTATCTCCTGTCATACTTTTTTAGCTCAATACCCCAAAAAGGTACTGCAAGAACTCCCGCTATGGTACCAGCACCTTCGTCCTGTTTATATGGGAGTTCCCCCCCGGGTATAGCCTATCCTCGGTCGTTTTCGGAGAATCTTTAAACAGACTGCAAAAGCAGCACAGTCATTCAATTCAAGACTGGTATTGAATTGTTTCTGTGGATCTCTCACTGACTGAAAGAAGTCGCATGACCAGGCCCTTCCCCGCCTAGGCTCGATCACCAGTCGCTGTTCGGGAAAGGTGCAGACCGGGCTCGAGAGAGCGGCGGATATCGAGCCCGCCTTGAGTAGGGATTGAAACTCCGTCAGCTGGCATGGGTTCAGCCGTTGGAAGAGAGCGTTTAGGTTCTGGAATATGGTATGTGTAGACTTCGATGTCAGTTGCCAAAGAATGAAACAAAAGCCACATTTGACAAGCTTTTTATAGCCTCAAACTGCCTTACGCGCTATATAAAGGTTTTATTTCTTTTGTATGTTACAGAGATGGCTATTCCTAATGAAGACAACGGATCAATTGGGTTCACTTTAGATGAGAAGCCTGATCCGTTTGTTGAAATACAGGAAGAACCTGAGGAGCAAGGACGGGATCGTTGGAGCAGGAAAATCGAGTTTTTGTTCGCGTGCATTGGCTTTTGTGTTGGCTATGGAAACATGTGGAGATTTCCATACATGTGCTTTAAAAATGGAGGCGGTATGGCATTAATCAATCAATCCATTCATCCATCCACCCATCCATCCCCTCTCCCACCTACCCACCCACCCATTCATCCATCCATCCATCCAACCAATCAATCAATGAACAAACCAACCAACCGACCAACCAACCAATCAATCAATCAATCAATCAATCAATCAATCAATCAATCAATCAATCAATCCATCAATCAATTGATCGATCAATCAATTGATCGATCAGTCAGCCAGTCGGTGGGTGGGTCGGTCAGTCAGTCAGTCGGTCAAAATTAATTTTCAATTTGCAAAGCATTTTCTACGTCCTTGGCCCTCTGTAGTTAGAAGAATGGGATTGGCTTAGTTCAGTAAATACGCTTGAAAAAAAAAGGGCTTACTTCTGATACTAACACGTTGACATGCGTGAAACAAGAATAGACCGTGCAAGAGGAAAAAAAAGATGGCGTTTGGTTGGTATTGCCACCATTAACTTCAGTAAAAAATGAAGGAAAAACTAGCTAACAGATTTCAAAACTCCCTACACTACTTCACTGACGTTATATTCTTTGGGTGATTGCCGAAGACGACCAGAAAACCTCTCGTAGTGTTCATATATTTCCATCTTTTATTCCAGGCGCGTTTCTGATCCCTTACCTCCTTTTCCTGACGTTTGGTGGGGTACCAATCTTCTTTCTAGAGCAATGTGTGGGACAGTTTACACAGTCAGAACCCGTGCATGCGTGGAACAAGCTTTGTCCATTGCTCAGAGGTGAGGGCGCACGTTATTCTAACCAATACACAAGTCATAGTTCTTCAAAAATCTGTTAATTTCCCTCCACTTTCAAAAAGGATGAACGGCAACCGGAGCTCGAGACAGCTTTAGCATCTTTTCTCACAGAACGTGAAAGAAAGAAAGACCGGGAAAATAACCTCGTAGTTGTTTTTAAAAGTCTGCATACGAGCCAAGTGGCCCATCAGGCTTGAGCTTATCCCGGTTTCTGTAGCATGAAGTGACTAGGAGTATTTCTAATCCCCCATGGATGGGATGCTAGTCCATCGCAGGGTTGAATTCGCCGGTACCCATTTATAAACCTGGGTGGAGAGAAGCACTGTGAGAGTAAAGAACACAGCATCGCGTCTCTGTTTAGGACACCTATGAAGTAAACTTAGCGAAAACGTAGGGATGACTTCTTTTTAATTGTGATCGGAATGAAACTTTACAGAGACGTAACTCTTTTTTACACAGGATTTTCTTCTGTTGATACTTAAAGAACACAGAAACGCAATATTTCGCCTTGCGCTTTACTTAAGTCTCTCACTCAATTTTTCTCTCGTCACTGCTCCAGAAGGGCGTCCAAGATTCGTATCATTTTACGAATGCGAGTGCAATCAAGGATTTACGCTACGAGTTATAGGGGTGGGGGGCGGTGGCCTCATGGTTAGTGCGCTCGACTCCGGATCGAGCGTTCCGGGTTCGAGCCCCGGCCGGGAAAATTGCGTTGTGCTCTTGAGCAAGGCACTTTACTCTCACAGTGCCTCTCTCCATTCAGGTGTATAAATGGGTACCGGCGAATTTAATCGTGGGGGTAACCTTGCGATCCTCCCATCCAGGGGGTAGTAGAAATACTCCCAGTCACTTCATGCTACAGAAAATTTTCTGGAGGCCGTTACTTTCGGAATTCTACGGTAACACCTCTAACATTCCATTCCTAAGTCAGACCTCTATAGCGTCTCTGATTGGTCTATTTTTGTGCGCGACAGTTCAAAACCCGCGCGTCGAGCAATCCCCACTACACCGAAGGAAGTTGAAAACGCAGCTTTATTTCTCCGGTTAGGCCTTCGATCCACACTAATCCATAACAAAAACGGAGCTTTTTGAAAACGCTCTTCAAACCGGAGGAATTTGAAAACGCTGGCCTTGCGTTTTTGTGGGGACAGAAAACATTTTGGAAACGAAACTTTTCGAAAACGATGAGGTTACAACATTCATGTGATTTCCCTGCCCGAGTTTTACACAAACACAAATCCAATATGTATGGGTTATTGACCAAGTGTGAGGTCAAGATGGCTGGATATTGGCCAAGTTCTCCGTCTCGGTCCATAAACTCGCAAAAAAAGAACGAGGCCAATATCCAGCCATCTTGACCGAACAAGCT